TGGACAACATGCACGGTGAAGAGAGGTTGGTAAAATTTTAAAAAAATATTTATAGACATGAAGTCTAAGTTAATCCATAGGTGGAGTTGATGTATCCGTTTATCCACATGTTAAATGAAACAGTTTGTGTCATTTAAATAAGGGGTTTCAACTTCTCAGAAGTTCAGATTTTGCAGCTGAGAGAGAGATGATGGGATTCACCTTATATAAAAAAAAAAAAAAAAAATGGTGCAGAAATTGAAGTGAGAGTAACATAAGGAAAGCAATTTATTCAGCTCTAAGCAACATTAGTATGCATAAATTTAAGGTTGATTGAACAAAGATGGATTTTTAAAAAAATATTTTCTGATATTTTTTTTTTTTTTACTTTCACAAGTAAATTAAATGGATAATAAAAAAAAAACCTTTCTAAAACCATATTACTATTATTAATTTTCCAACGTCTCCTCTCTTATTTCCGATGGTCAAATTTTCAAAGCATTCTATTATGATAGGATATAACAGCTTGTAGTTTGTTATTTTGATATAGGATTTGTTATTATTTTGGTGTAAGTTTGTATTGTTCGCTTGAATAACCATAGCAAACACACGATTGATAGTGGGAAGTAGAGTGCTATTTAGAATTTGGGTAATAAGAGTACCGTAGGTAGCATGATCAAGACCTATAAGAAATTGATAGACTTTATCATTTTCTATTTCAGCAGCTACAGCTTTGGTGAAAGCACAAACATCTCCAGTTGCACAAGAATCAGACTTGCGGCTCGATTCCAATTCATCCCAGATGGAACGAAGCTTGGTGTAATAATCAGTAACAGGTGCCCTATTCTGCTTCATAGTCGCAAGTGATGATTTAAGATGGAAAATACGTGGAATATTTGCAACAGAGAAACGTTCTTTGAGATCTTCCCCAAGACTTTTAGCATATTCGAAGCATTTGATAAATGGTTGCATTTGAGGATCTATGGTATTATGAATCCAACTGTTAATCATAATATGACAGAGAGACCAAGCATAGGACTCATCAGACGTTTTGTTTGTAGGCTCCTTGATACTTCCATCAACAATTACACGGTTAAAAAGGTACAAACTGATAACGGTACTGAATTTCTATCTTCTGCTCTTCGTTCATTCTTTGCAAATAGGGGAATTTTACAACAATTTTCGTGTGCCTACACACCGCAACAGAATGACAGAGTTGAAAGACGTCATCGTCACATACTTAATGTTGCACGTGCTATTCGTTTCGATGGGTCTCTTCCTCTCACATTATGGGGGGAATGTATTCTCACAGCTGCCCATTTGATTAATAGGACCCCCCCACTACTCTTCTTGAAGGCAAATGTCCATACAAAGTGTTATATAATACTTCACCAAAGTATGATCATATTAGGATTCTTGGTTGCCTATGCTATGCCACGGTTTTACCTAAACCTTCAGACAAATTCGCAGCACGCTCCCGAAAATGTGTGTTCGTTGGTTATCCATTCAACAAGAAGGGCTGGAAAGTGTTTGATTTGCATACAAAGGAGATCTTTGTCTCTCGTGATGTTCAGTTCTTTGAGGATGTTTTCCCTTTTGACTCAGTTGCCATAGACACAACTCAACGTCAGTCTCAACCTACTCCTTCACCCGAAGTTCTATATGAACCATGTTCTAATGATGAGCTTCCTTTGGATGATGCTCCTTCACCTAATCCGGAGTTACCTGACAGGGGGAGTCCTACGGTTTCTCCTTCTCCACCTCCAGTGCCTCCTTCTCGAACACGCAGGCCTCATAGGCCACCAGCATATCTTAAAGATTATCAATGTCACAAAGCAACTACACCCCCTTCTGACAACTCTCTCTCCAACGTCTCCTCAGGTATGGTCTATCCTATTCAAAAATATGTAACTAATAATCTTTTCTCTTCCAAGCACCAAAAATTTTTAGCAGCTGTCAACAGTACTATGGAGCCACGTTCATTCAAAGAAGCCGTCAAGAATCCCAATTGGCAGAAGGCTATGCAACTTGAAATTCAGGCACTTGAGGATAATCACACATGGATTGTTGCACCTCTTCCTCCCGACAAGAAAGCAATCCCTTGCAAATGGGTTTTTCGAATTAAATATAATTCAGATGGCTCTATAGAAAGATACAAAGCTAGATTGGTAATTGCTGGAAACAATCAAATTGAAGGAGAAGATTACAATGAAACGTTTGCACTGGTTGCCAAAGTAAGCATACGTACATTTCTTTCTGTTGCTGTAGCGAAAGATTGGAAAATTTATCAACTTGATGTTCAAAATGCATTTCTCCATGGTGATCTTGAAGAGGAAGTATATATGTGATTTCCTCCTGGTTTTTCAACTGGATCTCCTGGTACTGCATGCAAGCTTCAACGTTCACTCTACGGTCTCAAGCAGTCACCGCGTAACTGGTTTGCTAAACTTCGAGACTCTCTTCTCAGTTTCGGTTTCAAGCAATCAAAGGCAGATTACACACTATTTACTTTCACTAAGGATCACAATTTTGTTGCTGTTTTAATATATGTCGATGATATCCTCTTGGCTGGCAACAATATCTCTGTATGTGATCAAGTAAAGCTTCATCTTCAGACTTGGTTCAAAATTAAAGATCTTGGAAACATTAAATACTTTCTTGGTATTGAATTTGCTCGCAGTCTTCTGGTTTATTCCTCAGCCAAAGAAAATTTGCAATGGATATTTTGAGTGAATGTGGTTTACTTGGGTGCAAACCAGCTGATTTTCCTATGGACCCAAATCATAAGTTGGCACTTACTGATGGACCAGCATATGAAGACCTTTCTCGTTATCGGTCTTGTAGGCCGTTTGGTTTATCTTACAATAACTAGAACTGAACTGAGTTATGCAGTACATACACTTGCTCAGTTTCTTCAACATCCTCTACAAGAACATTATGATGCTGTGTTGCGTGCTTTGCGTTATATAAAGGGTAATCCTGGTTCAAGGACTCCTACTGCGATCAAATTCTGATCTCCAAATCCGTGCCTTTTGTGATTCTGATTGGGCAAGTTGTCCAGTTACTAGAAGATCCATTACTGGTTATTTTTTTCAACTTGGAAACTTTCCTATCTCATGGAAATCGAAGAAGCAACATACAATCTCTCGTTCTTCTGTAGAAGCCGAGTATAGGCCCATGGCTACAGCTACTTCTGAATTATTATGGCTTAAGGCTTTCCTGCAGGATCTTGGTATTACTCACTCTATGCCCATGCAGCTATATTGTGATAGTAAATCTGCTATTCATATTGCATCAAATCTAGTTTTTCATGAGCGTACCAAACACATAGAACTGGATTGTCATTTTGTTAGAGAACATGTTTTGGCCAAGACTATATGCACTAAGCATATCTCGACTTCTTCTCAACCTGCAGACATTCTCACAAAAGCTCTTGGCAGAAAACAATTCGAATTCTTATTATCCAAGTTGGGTATCTCCTCCCTCCATGCTCCAACTTGAGGGGGAGTATTATGATAGGATATAACAGCTTGTAGTTTGTTATTTTGTTATAGGATTTGTTATTATTTTGGTGTAAGTTTGTATTGTTCGGTTGCTGAAGATTAGCATATTTCATGCAATCTGATCCCTTGATCTTAGGTTTGCTAGTATAACTGATTCATTCAATTGTATCCGTAGCTGTTACAGAAGTCTATTTAAAGACTTTCATATGATTAATAACATATGTTGCTCATTCCTTTGTAACTTCTTTTACATTCACGATGATCGTAGAGGCAATTTGTTGAGTTTGATGGAAAATCTAAATTTTGAAAAATGTGTTGTATTATATTTGCTGATTCAAGAGGAGAATTTGGTGGGGTATGCATGAAAATTTGTGTGGAAATTTATGAAGACCATGACTGAATTTCTTTGTTAATTGGAGGATGTGATTAATTAATGGAGTTGAATTTTTAATGGTTGACTTAATTGTATTGCTGAAGTTCTTTGTTAATTGGAGGACGTGATCAATTAATGGAGTTGAATTTTTTATGGTTGACAGGACTCCACACAGAAAGGAAAACACGACAGGAATTATTTTTGAACTCACATGAACGTACGTGATGATGAATCTAAAAGTTGTAAGGCTAATCTTAACCACTCTTTTCTTTTTTTCTAACCTTAACCACTAACACTTTATTTACTCTTATCATTTTCCATATATATTATATTTGTGGATCACTTCCTTTAAAAAGACAGATCCATCTTCCAAAGTTGAGGAGTCCACATCTGAGCAAAGAAATGAAGTCCATCTCTGCATTGTTTGTAGTCTTCTATCTTCTCTTGGTAGTAAGCTTTTTCTGAAGCAGCTCTATGAAAGTTTATTTTATCATTCCATGATTTCATTTCAAGTAACTCACTTGTTTCTGTAATTTAAACCAACGAATGAGTAAGTCATATGTTGGTCATGACCTTTCTCTTATATCTATCTCTATTGAAATAGGTTGTTAACCTTAAGCTATGCAAGAAAAGACCCGGGTGACTATTGGAAGAATGTGATAAATGGAAAACACTTCATCCGCCAGTTTTCTTAAGAGTGTTGAATAAATAAATAAACTTGATTTAATTAGTTTTTGGTCCATTGGGCTTAGTTATTATTTGGCCCAACTTCTAGAATAATCTTTAGGAGTAGTTTAGCCCAAATTCTAGAGTAATCCACTCTAGATTACTCCATGGAAATATCTAGAATAGTTCAAACTAGAAACTACCATGGAAATATCTAGGCTAGGAAAATTGTGGAGAATTCTAGAGAATGATTTGTAGCCATTAGATGAGAATAGTGTTGACATAATCCTAGCCATTGGTTAAGGAGGTGCCACTAGTATAAATAGGTGTGTCCTCCTTCATTTTGTATCAAGCCAAGAAGAAACAAGAGTTTAGTAGTAAAAAGTATTCTCTTCCTCCAAATTTCTCTAAATTTCCTTTTCTGAAATATCCTCCTTCCAACAAAGTGGTATCAGAGCCTTAAGATCCTTTCTAGAGAAATGGCAAGTAGCAACATTGTTCCTTTCCAAGTCCCTATGCTCACCAAGAGCAACTATGATAATTGGAGCATCAAGATGAAGGCCCTCCTTGGATCACAAGATGTGTGAGAAGTGGTAGAGAAAGGCTACGATGAGCCAAAAGAATGAGTCACTCTACCCCAAACTCAAAGGGATAGCTTGAAGGATTCAAGAAAGAGAGACAAGAAAGCTCTCTATCTCATCTATCAAGGATTGGATGAAGATGATTTTGAGAAAATTTTGGAGGCAGCCACCGCAAAGGAAGCATGGGAGAAGCTACAAACCTCTTACAAGGGTGCTGAGCCGGTCAAGAAGGTACGTCTTCAAACTCTAAGAAGTGAGTTTGTAACTTTACACATGAAAGATGCCGAAAGTATCTCCGATTATTTTTCTAGAGTCTTGACGGTGACTAATCAATTAAAAAGAAATGGTGAAAAGATAGATGATGTAAAAATTATGGAGAAAATTTTGCGATCTTTAGACTCGAAATTCGATCATATTGTCACTGTCATAGAAGAAACAAAAGATTTGGAAGCTATGACAATAGAGCAACTCTTGGGCTCCTTACAAGCATATGAGGATAAGCAAAAGAAAAAGCAAGGGATTGGTGAACAATTACTCAAGACACAACTCAACTTCAAAGGAAAGGAAGAAGACTTTGGCAACACAAGAGGACGAGGAGGATATCGTGGTCGAGGAAGAGGTCGTGGATGTGGAAGTATAGGCTTCAACAACAACTATGCCCATGAAGATCGAGGAGAAAGCTCAACAAGAGGTCGTGGAAGAGGTGACTTCCAACCAAGGCGTGACAAATCACAAATCAAGTGCTACAACTGTCAAAGGTTCGGCCATTATGCTTCTGAATGTAGAGCCCCTACAAGGACGATTGAGGAGAAGGCAAACTATGTGGAAGAGAAAAGTCAAGAATATGGCACTCTGTTGATGGTACGCAACGACAATGTAGGAGAACAGGAGAATACATGGTATCTAGACTCGGGGGCAAGTAATCACATGTGTGGAAAAAGAAACATGTTCATGGAACTTGACGAATCGGTGAATGGAAATGTCTCATTTGGAGATGAATAAAAAACACCAGAGAAAGGCAAAGGTAAGATTCTTATCCGATTAAAAGACGGGAGGCATGAATTCATTTCTAATGTGTACTATGTGCCCAACATGAAGAATAATATTTTGAGTCTAAGGCAACTCTTAGAAAAAGGGTATGATGTTCACTTAAAAAATAATACTCTTTCTTTAATAGATAATCAAAATAACTTGATTGCTAAGGCGCCTATGTCAAGAAATAGAATGTTTCTGTTGAACATTCAACACGACATTGCAAAGTGTCTCAAAGCCTGCTACAGGGATGCATCTTGGCTGTGGCATCTACGATTTGGACACCTCAACTTTGGTGGTCTTGAGTTACTATACAAGAAAAAGATGGTGAGAGGATTGCCTTCCATCAGTCAACCTGACCAACTATGTGAAGGATGTCTACTTGGGAAGCAATGTCGAAAGAGCTTTCCAAATGAGTCTTTGTCAAGAGCCAACAAGTCGCTCGAGCTCATACATACAGATGTTTGTGGACCATTGAAGCCAAGCTCACTCAGTAAGAGTAATTACTTTCTTCTCTTCATAGATGATTTCTTAAGAAAGACATGGGTGTATTTTCCTAAATCAAAAATCAGAGGTGTTTGGAGTCTTCAAGAAGTTCAAGGCTAGTGTGGAGAAAGAAAGTGGATGCGAGACCAAAGCAATGAGATCCGATCGAGGTGGAGAGTTCACTTCTAAAGAATTCCTAGAGTTTTGTGATGATAATGGAATCCGAAGGCCTTTAAACGTTCCAAGAAGCCCGCAGCAAAATAGAGTAGCTGAAAGGAAGAATAGAACCATTCTCAACATGGCGAGGAGCATGCTCAAGAGCAAAAAGATGCCAAAGGAGTTCTGGGTTGAAGCTGTTGCAACTGCAGTCTACCTTTTAAACCGCTCGCCAACAAGGAGCGTGTGTGGAAAGACACCAAAAGAAGCATGGAGTGGAAGAAAGCCTGGGATCTCCCACCTGAGAGTATTTGGAAGCATAGCCTATGCACATATTCATGATGAGAAGAGGTCCAAGCTTGATGACAAAAGTGAGAAGTTCATCTTCATAGGGTATGACTCTAACTCTAAAGGCTATAAACTTTACAATCCTAACAATGGAAAGACCATCATTAGCCGAAATGTGGAATTCAATGAAGAAGAAGAATGGAATTGGGGTCTACATGATGAAAACTACAACTTACTTCCCAATTTAATGGAAGATGAAGAGATGGAGCAACCAAGGATAAAGCAAGAAAGAGAAGAGACCATGACTCCCCCAACTTCACCAATCAGAAGTCAACAACAAGAACTATTGTCATCTGGAAGTTCAAGCGAAAGAGTACCACGCTTCAAGAGCTTGCAAGAACTTTATGAGGTAACAGAAAATCAAGATAATCTCACTTTGTTTTGCCTCTTTGCTGATTGTGAACCAGTGAGTTTTCAAGAAGCCGTTCAAAGCAAGAAATGGAGAAATGCTATGGATGAAGAAATCAATGCGATTGAGAAGAACAAAACATGGGAGCTAGCCTCACTTCCAAAAGGGCACAAGGCGATTGGTGTAAAGTGGGTCTACAAAGCTAAAAGGAATGCCAAGGGAGAAGTTGAAAGATACAAGGCGCGATTGGTGGCAAAAGGCTATAGTCAACGAGAAGGAATCAATTATGATGAAGTATTTGCTCCTGTTGCTCGCTTAGAAACTATTAGACTAATTATTTCTTTGGCAGCTCAAAACAAGTGGAGCATACACCAAATGGATGTAAAGTCAGCATTTTTGAATGGAGTACTTGAAGAAGAAGTGTCATCGAGCAACCAGCAGGGTACGAAGTCAAAGGACATGAAGATAAGGTATTGAAGCTGAAGAAGGCACTTTATGGGCTAAAACAAGCACCAAGAGCTTGGAATAGTCGAATAGACAAGTACTTCCAAGAGAATGGTTTTATCAAATGCCCTTACGAGCATGCACTTTATGTCAAGCTCAAAGATGGAGATATTTTGATCGTGTGCTTGTACGTGGATGATCTAGTCTTCACCGGAAACAATCCAAGGATGTTTGAAGAGTTTAAGAAAGTGATGAAGAAGGAGTTTGAGATGACTGACATTGGACAAATGGCATACTATCTCGGCATTGAAATCAAGCAGAAAGAAGAAGGTTTTTCATCACTCAAGAAGGTTACGCAAGGGAGATACTGAAGAAATTCAAGATGGACGATTGCAAGCCTATCAACACCCCAATGGAATGTGGAGTTAAGTTGTCCAAGTATGGTGAAAGAGAAGATGTTGATCCTACTTTCTTCAAAAGCTTAGTTGGAAGTTTACGCTACTTGACATGCACCAGACTTGACATCCTCTTTGCTGTTGGATTCGTTAGTCGTTACATGAAGACTCCAACTACCACGCACTTGAAGGCTGCAAAGAGAATCCTCCGCTACATTAAAGGTACTATCGACTTTGGTTTATTTTACTCATCCTCTAATGAATATAAACTTGTTGGATATAGTGATAGCGATCGGGCTGGAGACATGGATGATAGAAAAAGCACCACTGGATTTGTGTTCTACATGGGAGATACTGCTTTCACACGGATGTCAAAGAAACAACCTATTGTCACTCTGTCTACTTGTGAAGCCGAATATGTCGCAGCTACATCGTGTGTTTGCCACGCCATTTGGCTAAGGAACTTGCTGAAGGAGTTGAATATGCAACAAGAGGAGCCAACCAATATTTATGTTGACAACAAATCTGCCATTGCATTAGCAAAGAATCCAGTCTTCCATGATAGAAGTAAGCACATTGACACACGCTATCACTTTATAAGGGAATACATTGCAAGAAATGAGGTGCATATAAAATATGTCAAGTCTCAAGAACAAGCAGCAGATATCTTCACCAAGCCACTCAAGAATGAAGACTTTGTCAAGATGAGAAAATTGCTTGGAGTTACAAAATCAAGTTTAAGGGGGGGTGTTGAATAAATAAATAAACTTGATTTAATTAATTTTTGGTCCATTGGGCTTAGTTATTATTTGGCCCAACTTCTAGAATAATCTTTAGGAGTAGTTTAGCCCAAATTCTAGAGTAATCCACTCTAGATTACTCCATGGAAATATCTAGAATAGTTCAAACTAGAAACTACCATGGAAATATCTAGGCTAGGAAAATTGTGGAGAATTCTAGAGAATGATTTGTAGCCATTAGATGAGAATAGTGTTGGCATAATCCTAGCCATTGGTTAAGGAGGTGCCACTAATATAAATAGGTGTGTCCTCCATCATTTTGTATCAAGCCAAGAAGAAACAAGAGTTTAGTAGTAAAAAGTATTCTCTTCCTCCAAATTTCCTTTTCTCAAATATCCTCCTTCCAACAAAGAGTCCTTTGCTCTGGATCATAGATTTTGTAGATTCGGTGTCCAAAACCAGAGAGCTTTTGTTTCCTTGAGGAAAATAATATCAACTAAAACTATTTCCCCCGCTTGTTGCAATGACACCTCCAAAAGAGGGGGCAACTAGACCAAGGCATCATGCTATACTTTCAGGGCATAACAAATAGGCAAAAAGTAAGAACTATATAACAAAAAGAAAGTAATAGCCACCTGGCTTTGACACCTTCAATGAACTCTGGTATGTTCTCAACAGTTTCAATTTCACTCAGCATTTTTAAGACAACCTGTAGAATCAATGGTCACATTAGCATACTCACATATTAAATAACAGTATTGTGGTGGTGCTTTACTCACTACGTTAAAACAAGCAGTAACATAAAAGAACACGAGAGCTTAATTAACTACTTATAGTTACCTCATTAGCACCACGTGCATTATGCTTCAAAGTATTTTTCTTTTTTTGTTACATCAAAATGCTGTCTTTATTTTTTAATAAAAATAATTTGTGTTTAGTAAATATTGATTAATTGTTCTTTAAATAGGAAATATTGATTAATTTATGTTCAAAGAAAGATTATCGTTTACTAATCACAATTTTATTTTTGGAAGATAACATAATTTGTTTTTAGGGATAGGATATTGTGACACCCAAGTTAGGTTACACCCATGTGACACCCAGTCAATCTCACCGTTAGATCGCTTATGTTGATCCAACGGTTATATTTATTTCCATCTTTGTATGGTCACGATTTCCTAAATTTAATATTTTATATTTATTTCTACCTTTGTATGGTTATGATTTCCCATATTTAATGCTTTCACTTTAAATTTGGGAAATCATGACCATACAAAGATGAAAATAAATATAATCGTTGGATCAACATAAGCGATCTAACGGTGAGATTGACTGGGTGTCACATGGGTGTAACATAACTTGGGTGTCACAATATCCTATCCCTTGTTTTTATATGAACAAAATATATTTTGAATTTCAACATTGAAAAAGTAATTGAATTAAATTAAATAAATATAAATTATACTTTGGTTAACTTTTTTTAGATTTAAATTTGTTTGTGAGGCCTTACCAAAAAAAAAAAATTGTTTGTGAGGCCTTACCAAAAAAAAAAAATTGTTTGTGAGGACTTCTTAATTTTGTGCACAGAGGTAGTATAAGATTTGGCATTAGTAAGACGGGAAGGGTTACGTTTACAACTTTTTTGTTTACAACTCTTACAACTTTAACTATATACAACTTTTTTGTTTACCACTCTTACAACCTCAACTATATTCTCCCGGGAGAACACTCTTCAGTATTGTTCTTTCGGGAGAACATAGTTTAGGTTGTAAAAGTTGTAAACAAAAAAATTGTAAACGTAACCTGCCCTAGTAAGATTTCTTTTCTTTAAATCATTTCTCTGGATTAGGTTTAGGTGAAGTCATGGTGAGAGAGAGAAGAGAGAGACGAAGAGAAGAGTGATAGCAAGAGGTCTTCTATTATTGATATATTCTAAGGATTTACAAGTACAAACATATATACAAAGGAGATGGTGATTAAAGTGCTGACTCAACACCTAAACAGAAAATGGTTGAAGTCTAACAATAACAACCATCTAGGGAAACATAGACT